TCACCCTCCTGAGCATGTGGCCTCCTTCCTCTGTGCAGGCAGCAGAGAAACCCACGGTTTCAAATCCCAGCAGTAAAAGCCTCCTCCTGCCAAACTGAGGAGGAAGGGTCTGTGTTTCTAATTTATTCTGCCCCCCCCAGTTGTTACTTAAAATAATCCATCATTACATGGCTGATGGCTCCAAGATTTTTATTTAAAGCAATATGGAGAAGAAGAAAAGAGAAAACCCACATAACCCGTGACTGTGCTATCTTGGATTTAAGCTGAGAATCTTTTTAACATCAGGCAGTCTCCAAATCACCCAAGTATACTCTTCTCTGGCCCTGAAGGGTGCTAAGGGGGATGCAGTAAGAAGAGGGGGACGTGGGGGCATGGCAGGATTTTAATTTCTAAGAAGCATTATGAAAAGACAAGTATTTTTTTTAAAGGCATCCGTGTCATCTGGTAGGTGTTTCATTGTGTCATCCAATGACCAGCAGTAACACTATGGACTAAGACCCATGACATTTATCCATGATTTTCCTCCTCTCTCTCTTCTTTTTTCCATTTGTCTTGACTATAATTTTAACATATATGCAATGAAAAGCCCTTCTCAATTGTTCATGCTAATTGATTATTTGTTTGTTTGTTTGTTTGGGACAAGGTATGACTCTTTGTCCAAGCTGGAGTGCAGTGGCACAATCACAGCTCACTGCAGCCTCCAACTCCTGGATTCAAGCAATTTTCCCACCTCGGCCTCCTGAATAGCTAGGACTACAAGGCACACATCACCATGCCTTGCTAATTTTTTTGTTGTTGTTTGTGGGGGAGGGGGGGTTTATTGATAAGGTCTAGCTAGGTGGCCCATCCTGGTTTCAAACTCCTGGCCTTAGGCAATCCTCTCGCTTTAGCCTGCCGAGTCTCTGGGATTACAGGCATAAGCTACCACGCCTGCTTAGTATTAAACTGTGACTCTGATCATCCAGAACCCAGACAAGTCCTGAAATCAGTTCTATTTAATTTTCGAATACCTTTTTTTCCCAGAGGACTTATCTTCCTAATTAGTTTTGCTCAGGCTAATGCAATGGGTTTATTTCCATATAGCACACCAAGGCAGGGGCTGTGCTGGGTAACAAAGCCAACAATTAACAGAAAATTTACAGCAGAGACTTCATGAAACAAATGCTATGCACATGACTAAGATCAAAATCTCATCATACTGTACAGACAAATCACTCTGGTAATGCAGTTTTGTAATAAGAACACTACTAGCACTCACATTTCCAGGATTTAGGACGTGAAGAGGAAATAGGGCTCATTCCTGCTTTTCATCTGGAAGCTCTGAGAGAGCACAGTTCCTGTCTGCCTGGGCCACCACTACATCCCCAGCACCTGGCACAAGGCCTGGCAGAGTTAGTGCTCAATAAATAGGTGCTGAAGTAATGAATGAAAGTAAGATGGGTGAATCAACAAATCAAATGTTCCCAACTCAGAAACAAAAGTGAGATCTCAACCATCTTCCCATTTGCTATTTGATGCCCTCAGGAAGCCTTTCCTGTGACTCCCATCCATTGTTGGATCAGGTCCTCTTGAAATGAATTCTCATGGCAGGCAGGCGCTCTCCTATAGCACTTATCGGATGATAATTATATAGTTATTTGTGTCTGCCTCCCCCACTAGATTGTAAACTGCTTGAGGGAAGAGGCCATGTACCTGTGGGAAGGGCACTGTAATTCTCCCTCAGGTTTGGAAAATCTCAAACACAGAGTAAAGCTGGAAAACCGTGTAGTAACAACTCACATACCCTCAACTAAGATTCAACAATTTTTAATATTTGGGGCCATGTAAACTTGCTTTGGTGCTGTATTCCCTGTACAGCTATGTGAATATTGAGGTTTTGAATCTTCTCTCCACCTATATGCGGTTGCTCTGGGACAGTTTCCCCTGGCCAATCCCCACCACCACTAACTTGGTAGGGTAGAGTGAGCCCCTGCGAGTTCTTTCATTTGGGAGAATAACCATTACCTGGATTGCTACTGGAGAAAGTATTGTTCACACGGTGCTATTAGTTCCAGCCAGAATCAATGAGCTGTTCTTTCTGTGGGCCAGCACTTAATAGTCTGGACTCCAATGTGCAACATTGAAAGAAACAGCTAGGTGCATAAGCCAGTAGATGCAGCTTTGGGGCCCCTATGCTGTGTCTCACTAGGTTACCTTGGATAAGTCATATAACCTCTCAGAGTATACACTGTATCAATAGCAGCCCCAGCCACCAATGCCACCTCATGGGTGGAGGGGTAGAGGAGGGCATCCCAAAGATCTTTAATAGTTCTCCAGTCATTTCACAGTATCCACAATTTGTCTCTATAACTAGCTGTAAGCTTCAAAGCCATCCACTATGTCTACTGCTTTTTTTAGTATGGTTGACAAGGGCCAGCCATGCTGGACACACACCAATCAAATAAATACCCATGGATACAGTGGAGAAATAATGTTGTCACCCAGAATCTTCTGTGGTGTTCATTCAAACAGGATGGAATTGTATTACACAGACCAGAATTGAACTTTAAGTTACATGCATGCCATATAGGCCCTACCCAACAACTCTAAGGCCTGTTTTGATCACAGTAACTCACAACTGACTCTGGAAAGGACTCCCCCCAAACACACACACCAGGGCATTACTCCCGTGGCACCATGTCTTAAGCTAGTCACACCAAGGTTTATTCTCCAGTCTTCTCTTCCCAAACCCTGGAAACATGTTCCTTGGAAGAAACAAGCAGCAACCAGACATCCAAGGTCTCTTGAGGTAATTCTATCTTCCCTGGTGAATTATAACTTCTTGCAGACACAAAGCAGGAGAGAGAGACAAATGACACATAAACAAGAGCTTCACTGACTGGGGGGAGGGGGACCTGGAGAATGACGTCAATTTTCCCAGAAACCCATTTATCACGATAACAAGGTCTCAAGTGCTCAGGCTGCTCTTTGAGCTTCAGAATCTGGCGTATAATTATGTTCTTCATCATACAGTATGGCAAGGCCAACCAGAGCAAACCGGAAACATGCAAAGCAAACCAAGTGGCCCTAAACCACCTCCTACCCCCCATTTCCATAACAAAGGGGTGCTCTGGGTTACTTGAGTTGTGCCTGAGGTGAAGCACAACCTTCTGGAATGTTCCCCTTTGCAACATCTGCCCTGCAATGCTAATCCCAGCAAGGGGGATGGTGAGACAGTATGAACAGGTCGATGCAAATTCATTAGCTGACAAGAAAAAATCATTAGTGTCATTTTTGTTCACTAAAGATGGAGCAAGTGTAATCCAGGAGACTAATTCCTCTACTTAAGCTATGTCATCTCTAAAATACAAGTAACAAGGAACAGAAAAGCACTCTGAGAGCCCTCAAAACACTAAAGAAATACATATTACAGTGCCATTCTTGGAGAAAAGAGAATTATCTCAAATTCTTTCATCACAGAACATTGTCTCCTGGTCCTTCCACATCATAACTGCATATAAAGAGTTCTGTGCTGGGGTGTGCAGGAGGTGTGGGAGGTTTCTGGTCTTCTGAACAGGGACAAAAGGGTGGAATAAATTAATACATGCCCTGTAGAGAAAATACTATCTGATTCTGGATTCAGACTTTGAAAACAAATCAATTTCAATTACACCAGATACCTAGAGGCGTCTTTTTTTTTTTTTTTTTTTTTTTGCACTAGGGTTGCATTGCAGGAACTAGTCTCCTAAATAAGCTACAAGGTTTTAAACCATTTTAAAGTGGTTCAGAGATTATCATCAGGTAGGATTTGGTGCCATGGGATTTGACCTATCTCTTTCTCCCACCTCTTCCTCGCCTGGAGGTGCCAGTGGGCTTCTTAAAATCCCAAACACGCATGGATAAATAGAACAGCTAGGGTGCTCCACCAAATGGAATAATTTCCCTTTGCAACCAAACTTCTGGCCAAAAAAACAAACGTGGGGCCTCAGGTCACTTCGACATGATTTCTCTGCACAACCTAGGCTGGAAAACTTCAGTTCTTTAAATGAAGATTTTTTCCCCCCAGAGTCAATCGCCAATCAAAAGAGAGACAGCACTAATTTTGGAAGTCTCACACTTATTTTCCTAAGTCCCCCATAGAAAGAAGCCAGCTCCACAGGTTTTGATACACAAGCCTAGTTACACTGAACACGCACCCAAAACAGATCCCCAGAGGCCCGCTCAAAACCATGCCAAAATACACAGCCTGCCACCTACAGGCCAGCCAACTGCACCCCACACTGACGCACAAATGGGACCCAGTGGCACAGAGGACCAGCAGAGAGGCGTTCAGACACGGACCCACACTACAGAGGTGAGCATACTCAGAGGAACAGGCAGACTTTTCTAGGGTCACAGACAGAATCCGGGCGCCGTTGCCACCCGCCCGGGAAAGCACGAGAGCGCGCGCGCACACATATATGCGCACACACTGATACACACAGACGCAGTCACATATGTAATGCATATGGAGAAACCCTACTCCAGCCAGTCACCTCCCCGCCCCCCTCAACACACTCTCACTCACTGCCTTCTGCCCCAAGCTAACCCAACCCCGCGTTTCTCTTCCAGTTCAGGCCAGGGTCCCAGTGCGCAGCTGTGCGTAGGGGCGCAGCAAGGCCGGGGTGCCAGGGACCCGGAGGGCTCGGCGGCTCATGCGGCCATTCATTCGACAACGCCCCAGCGGTGGGGCCGCAGCTGCAGCTAGCGAGGCGCCGGCGCTTACTGCAGCTCTTGATTAGTGCAAGTTCGGCTGCCGGCCCGCAGGCTTTGCCAAACCACCCCCCCACCGCGCCCGCCACCACGGTTCTCTGGGACAGCCTAGGGAACTGAGCCACTGACCCCGAGAGCAGAAGTCCCGCGGTGCCTCGGCTCCTAGACTCTGCCCACTGTCCTCCTTTCAGCGGCTGTAGCGGCAGCCAGGTCTCCTGACCCTCTCCAGACCCCCGCCCCGGGCGCTAGCACCCAAGCCCCGCACTCACCACCTGGCGAGCTATATCGGTCGCTGCCATCGCTCCTGCGTCCGCCAGGGCTGCCACGGGAGCCGCCGCAACGGGAGCTACTGCACAGGAAACAGAGGAGCTCCTCCGACAAAGAGAAAGTGTTACACTTCGGGCGCGACCAAGTCCAGTGGGGGGAGGTGCAAGGGAGGGGCCCCCTCGCCGCTGGTCCAACCCCAACCTCCCCTCTATCGCCCACCTCCCTCGGAAGTTGTGTATGAAGAGGGGGCGGATTTAACGCACCGCCTCCCCAGACCAAGAGCTCAGTTCCAATACTCCCCGCAACCCCAGCCATAGGCCTCTGAGAAGGGGGGCGGGGGCTCCCCTCAGTGACCACGTCCTCTGCCCCCCCCGCCACTGAGCTCCGTGGTACGTCCCGACCTCTGCTGAATTGTTACACCTCCTGCTCTCCCTGACATCCAGAGTCCCCAGACCCTGGAGGCTGGAGAGGCGCCTCCGCCCCTCCCTCCCTCCCGCGCTCAGCTCAGCGACGGAGCTCAGCAGTCCTCTTCTCCCTCCTCCCGGCCCTTGGTACCCCCTCTTTCTCTCCACCGACATCCCAGGGTGCTTGTGGGGGAGTGCCTGGCCACTGGAGTCTCCATGCACCGCTGTTGTTCCCTCTGTCCCCAATGACCGCGGAGCGCCGCTGAGGCGGAGCGGACGTGGGGGGAGCCTGCGGCACCTGCCGCTCACAGTGGAGCTTAGAAAGGGGGCTGTTGTCAGAAGCCGCACTGCGGCCCGGCAACTGAGCTGTGACACGCGGAGTCCGAAGCCAGGGGTCCTGAGACGCCCTCTGTTCCCCAGAGATTTCCAAGCCTCGGGTGCTGTGGACTGTAGTTCCGTGGAGCCGAGCTCACCACCGTTGGGCACTTTATGCAGTTGGACCCCACGCGCCTCGTCTCTCGGAGCTCTAAACAGCGTGAGCACAAGCTCAGACAACTCACCCCTTCTAGTGCCAGGGCGCGATGGAGTCTCGGAGGAAGGGCTGGGGATGCAGGTCCCGAGCTCTATCCAGTAGGATGGAGAGGCAGGTGACCGGGAGTGGCCTCCAATCTCTGTCCCGCTCCCTGATTTCCCTTAGCTCTAATTCAACTCTGGACAAGGCAGCTGATAGTGTGTGCTTAGAGGACCTCCCTAGGTAGGAGTTATGCCTGCCTGCTCTCCTTTTCTCGCCAAACGCCCGCTACAGGTCCTGTCCCTTGCTCTCAGCACCTCTCCACCTCTCGGGTCTTGAGACCACCCGTCTTTTCCAGGATTAGCCCCTTACTAGCTTCTTGTAACTGGAGAAGCCTGGTAGATTTGGCATGCCTGAGGCTTAAACGGGCAGGACACTCCATTCCAGTCCTCAAAAGGGCAGGTTCCCGGGACTTGAGAGGGACTCCAAATGGAGGAGGAGTGGCCAGTCAATGGGGGAAACCTGGGCCCACCAGTTCCCAAAGGAGCACAGAAGGTGAACCCACAGGTGCTCAGGGTGGCAGGAGAGAGGGAGGTAGGAGAGAGGACAAAAGAAAAGTAGGAACCAGAGAGAAGGCACCTAACCTAGAAGCCCTTGCCTAGGAGAAGGGAGAAGAGAAAATAGAATGGCTACGAGAAGAGCTTCCCTCGTACTTGGTTCCACCTGCTGGGGTGGCGCTTCTCGCACTCAGCTCTGATGTGCCTTTTTCTGCTTGAGAACAAGGACTCAAAGTGCATCTCCAGTGCCAAGTGCAGGGCCTGGCATCGGAGGCACTCAAGCGGAGGGTAGAGGATTCCCATGGGGAGGGAGGAGCAGAAGAAAGAAGAGACACAGTGTGGGATCAGCAGTAGGGACCGTCATGAAGAGCCAAGTATTCAGTGGGTGCCTACTGCTCCATCATTGTGCTGGAGACTCAGGAGTGGCCCGAAGAGAAGAACCTGGCATTCCTAGGGACCAGTACAGGGAGTTCTGTGCGATGGAAGATGCATGCTCACAGGGGAGATGGCAGTAGCAAAGAGGGGCAGGCAGAGTCTCCAAGACCCTCTGGAGGGCCTGGAGGAGAGGCTGGGCCCAGGACTGGGGTGACAGTGACACTCCAGGGCTATATTTAAGAGCCACTGTAAGCCTTGGGCCCAACTGGATGGGGGCATGGAGTCAGAGGTGACTGGCTTTTCCAGGCTGGGTGTCTGGGAGACAGATCTTCCCTGGCAAAAGCTGGGGCATCATGGACCAAAAGGCCCCAAGGCCACTAACTCCCATCTGGGCTTGGGATTTAGATGGTGGCAGGACAAGAAGCGAGCATTTGGAAGCCAGAACTGAGAGCTGCTGCCAGGAGGATGGGGCCAAATCCAGAGGCCTGCTGAGCTCCTGTGTGCTGCCCTCCGGCCTTAGCACTTCCTGCTTACTGAAGCTCTAGACATTTCTGCCCAGTCCTGAGAGGAATCCTTAGCATGGAATCCGTGGTGTCCCACCCTTGTGCCTCCCTTGACCCACCTGTCCCTAGAGACTACCAGAACCCTGTGAACACTGGATGGACCTTGAAGACCTGGACCAAGTGGGCAATTCAAGTCTCCTGCAACAGTTTGGTCCCTCTAAGACCTGCTGGTGTGTGTCTGCCAGTGTGGGGTTTTTTTGGCAGTTTTTGTCTGGGGCTGGGTTTGAACCCACCACCTCTGGCGTATGGGGCCGGTGCCCTACTCCTTTGAGCCACAGGCACCGCCTAGTATTTTTTATGGATGTGTCAATGCATCAATGTGTGTGATGTTGGTGTTTTTGCCAGTGTGTTTGTGTGTTTCAGTGTGTGTCAATGTGTATTTTTGGTTTGTGTTGATGTGTATCACAGTGTGTATTTCAGTGTTGTTGTTGTTTTTTTGTATGTGTGTGTGTCAAGTGTAGGGAGGTTTTAGATCCTTTTGTTCTGGGCTTTACGTGTCTGAGAGGTGTGAATTATGATGCTCATTTCAACAAAGAGGTTTGGAAGCCACCTTGGTCACTGCCTCCCAGTCTTTGGTCCCAGATCACCTTCCTGAGCACAGGGAAGACATGAGGGCTGAGGAGGCAAGAGGGCTCACGAGTGGTCAGACGGTGCGTTTTCTTCCTGAAGTGTGTTGATGAGTGAGGCTGAAAGACCTCCTATGAAGCCTTGTGTTGGGCTCGCCAGCACTGTCACAGACATGTATGTGCTTACGTTTGATATATCCTTGCAGGGTCCCTTGGGCCCAGCATGATGTCTGGCAGGTGCTCAATCAATGTTTGCGGAATGAAGAAATGAGCAGAAGCATATAAATGAGCCATGTTTAGTATTTCCCCTGTCCTTAAAGAAGCTGGGCAAGCAGGTGACTGTCATTAGCATGCTAATGTTGTTAGTGGAACCGACTCCGCTGCCTGGGTGAGGGGAAGTGGCTAGCCCTGCTCGACAGGAGTGGCCCTCATTGGAGCTAAGCTTTAGAAAGGCCACTCGACCACTGGGGTTGGGATGCTAACATTGTATAGGGAAGCATTGAGGAAGCAGAGAGGGAGAAGAGGGCAATGAAGTGGATCCAAGAACTCAGGAAAGGGCTTTCTTTGTCCCGCAGCTGTGGCTTTGTGAAAGGAAATGAGGACAGCAGCATTGGTCACAAATGGAGAAGCCTGAGAACCTGAAATGTAAGATCAGAACACTGGAAGAGGAAGACAAGGGGAAACAGAGGGAAAATGATCTGGGATTAACGAAATCTAGACATGTCAGCGGAATCAGAAACTCAGTGAAGGGGCTGAGTCAAGATGAACTAAGGATTCTTTTGTGTATTATCACCTGCTGCCTCTGGTTTTATATTAGTATTTTCCAGTGGTTCTCAAAATGTGGTCTTTGGCTAGGAGTAAAAGCGTCATCTGGGAAATTGTAAGGAACATAGATTCTCGGGCCCAATCCCAGACTCACTGAATTAGAACTTCTAGGACTGGGGCCCAGAAATCTGTGTTTTAACAAGTTTTCCAGGGGATTCTGATTTGTGCTAAAGTTTTCAGACCACTGGTTTATCTGAAGTCCAGCCCCTGTAGGATGGGACACAGGATAGGTAAAGTTTGGTAGGATATGGAGGGAAAAGTTTGCAGCCTAGGCTATTGTCAATAATGGCAGGACCTGATGGATTTCTACGATGGGCGGAATGAGGGTATGTAGTGCCCAGGCTTGGGGAAGGACTGCCAAATAAGGAGTAGATGGGCTCGTGTAGGGAGCTGGAAGGGTTTGAAAGACAAGCCTTGCCTCCTTTGCAATTTTACATTCATTCCACAAATATTCATTGAATCCCAACTGCATATCAGCAGCAGCTGTGCTAAGTGCCAGAGGACTCAAGAAAGAATGGGTGACAAAACCCCTATCTCAAACTAAGGGCTGGTCTATTCCATTGCCAGATATCTTCACAAACAAGCAATAATGTGATGAATGATATAATCAGTCAGGAGCAAGACCTTGGAGAGGAAAAGACCCCAAGAAGCAAGGGAAGGTACCTCAAAGAAGAGCCTTTTGGATTAAGTCCAGAAGAATAACTAGTGGTTTATCTGGGAGTCAAAGGGGAACAGCAGAGGGAACAACATGTGTATAAACAGAAAGGCTAGAGAACATTTAGGGAATTCCAAGTCTTGGGCAGAAGGAGTAATAGGAGGAAGGGACAGTGGCCATATATGAGAAGGGAAGATAAGATGGGGCCAGATCTGGAAGGGTCAGGTTGGTCATGCCAAGTTACTTAAACTTTTTGCTCCAGAGTAGGGATTCTGAAGCTGTGGTCTTCAGAGACAATGCCTAGTCAGTCAGAGCCTGAAACAGTGCCTGGAGCACGTGGAATGCTCGTGGTGCAACAATGACAACAAAAAGAAAGAAAGGGAAGGGGGGAAGGAAGGAAGGAAGGAAGGGAGGGAGGAAGGGAGGGAGAAAGGAAAAGAAAAATCAGTTAATGGTAGATGTGCAACAGTGCAACAACAACAAAAAAGGAAGAAAGGAAAAGAAGAGAAGGAAGGAAGGAAGGAGGGAGAGAGGAAGGGAAGGAAGGAAGGATCAGTTAATGGTAGAAATTTCCCTATTTTAACTTTTTTATCCATAATTTTTTCTAAATCTTTGACAGATGCTTCTACTTATCTGCTAGCAAGCAACAAAACGAATGAACAAGTAGCAATTGAATATGAAACAGACAATCTCAGTACTGATCATGCTTAATTCAACAGTTTATTTTTTCATGGACATCTGTGCTTGTGGCTATGAATTTATATTGAACACACATAATGTAGATATACTTTCAGCTAGCAGAAGTGTTCTTTTGAGAAGAGTTTTATTTCATATGGTGCAATTTAATATATCAATTATTTCAGGGTGTTCTGGAAAGAACACCACCACATCC